ACATACAGGGCAGCAGGGCAGGGAAGGAAGTGACAGTACAGTGGACCCCCGGTTAACGATATTTTTTCATTCCAGAAGTATGTTCAGGTGCCAGTACTGACCGAATTTGTTCCCATAAGGAATATTGTGAAGTAGATTAGTCCATTTCAGACCCCCAAACATACACGTACAAATGCACTTACATAAATACACTTACATAATTGGTCGCATTGGGAAGTGATCGTTAAGCGGGGGTCCACTGTATTGGGTGGCAAAAGGGAGAGGGATGATTAGTAGGTTATGGAGGACAGCAGGGCAGTGGATAGTGCAGGGGTAGAGGGTAGCATGAGATTGAGGTAGAAAGGGCTGTGGGGAGTGCTAAAGGCATCATCATCAGAGTTTGTGGAGTAAATCAGTTGTCAAAAAGTCAATGAGAGAGTCCGGATTAAAGGAGGGTCCGTCAGCAAGAAGGGAAGGTAAAGAGAGAGCAGCAGAGCGGAGACAACGTTGGAGGTAAATTCTGCGTGCTCGTTGATAGAGTGGGCAGTCCAACAGAATGTGGCTAACAGATACTGGAACCTGACAATGCCCACAGAGAGGAACAGGGCGCCTCTCCATGAGATACCCGTGAGTAAGACGAGTGTGGCCAATGCGAAGACGGGAGAGAGTGATCTCCCAACCTCGACACTGATGACAAGAAGATGGCCAGTAACCTAGACTCGGTTTAATAGAATGAAGTTTGTTATTGAGCAGAACAGACCAATGTTGTTGCCAACGGGTGTGAAGGTGGGTAGCAATTACAGCAAAATAGTCCATGAATGGAACACCTCTATATGAAACTGGAAGGTCATGTACTGCTGACCACACAGCAGTGTCTGCCTATTCGTTGCCCTGTACGTCAACATGACCAGGGACCCAACAAAAACAATATCTTTATGCTTGGTAGAGATACGGCGTAACCAAAGTTGGATACGGAGAACTAGGGGATGAGGTGTATCAAATTTTTGCATAAAGTAAAAGGACACAAGTGCAACTAATGTGACATTTTATTGTGGCAACATTTCGCTCTCCAGGAGCTAATGGCTTGATAAAGCTCCTGGAGAGCGAAACGTTGCCACAATAAAATGTCACATTAGTTGCACTTGTGTCCTTTTACTTTACATATTGTCGGTAATTCTACCAACTTTATTACAAATTTTTGTATAGCCTGTAAAGCACTAATGGAGTCTGAAACAACCACAAATGGTGACACAGGCATAGATGCAATACGGATAAATGTTACGAGAATAGCATACAATTCAGCAGTAAAAATGCTAGCTGAGGATAATAAATGCCCATGCATGACACTGTCCGGAAACACTGCTGCGAATCCAACGCTGTCAGAAGATTTAGAGCCATCTGTGTATACAGCGATGGCATGAGAATGAGAGCGGAAGTGGTCAAGAAAAAGAGAGCGGGAAGCTACTGTAGGCAGTTGGGCTTTCGCGTAAGGGAGTGAGAAAGAACAGACTTGAATAGCTGGAACTTCCAGGGGGTAGGGAAAAGTGAGATGCTACATGAACATAGAAAGGTGGTAACTGAAGGGAAGACAAGAGCAAATGGAGGCAAAGAGAAAAGGGACAGAGTAAACAGGGGCGACGAACAAATAAAGAATGTCTACTGACATTGGTGACTATTCTATATATGTAAAGGTTACGAAGATCATGAGAATGAAATTAGTAGCGAAGGCAATGGGCATCACGGCGATCGGACAAGGATGGAATATTCGCTTCAGCATAGAGGCTCTCAACAGGGAGAGCGAAAAGCACCAAGGCATAAACGTAATCCCTGGTGATGGATGGGATTAAGGCTAGAGAGAGTAACAGGAGAGGCCACTGAATAGATCTGGTCACCATAATCGAGTTTCGATAAAATGAGGGCTGAATGTAGGCGAAGGAGAGTTCGACGATCAGCTCCCCATGAAAGATGAGCATGGGTTTTAAGAAGGCTCAGCCGCTGTGACAAGTTGCCTTCAGGGAGGTAACGTGAGGTTTCCAGGATAACCTACGGTCAAAGAGAAGGCCTAGAAATCTGACCATATCACGTTCAGGGATACGTGAGCCACAGAGGTACAAAGGATGATCGGAGATGACAGAGCATCTAGCGAAAGTAATTTGGTGAGTTTTAGCAGTGGAAAATTTAAACCCATGCGTGTGGCCTAACGGGAAACACAGTTGACCACATGCTGGAGAGAAACTGTAATGAGGTGACAGTCAGCGCCTGCACAAGCAATAACGGAGTCATCAACATAGAGGGATGACCAAATATTGGATGGAAGAAGAGGCCAAATCATTTATAGCAAGCAGAAAAAGTGTTGTGCTCACTAGCTGTACAGGATTTGCTCTTATTTCAAATTATTATCTAGATTACATAACAAGTGAAGTTCCTTTAGCAGCCCAACATCATGACTGATTTACAATGACTTATGGAATATTTGCTCCATGCACATTAAAATCTCCAGATGGTAATTGTAAATTAATATTCATGGGTATTTCCACACCAAATCTCTAGCATCCTGATACTGATTGAATTACCACTTACGTGGCCTGGGGATTAACAGCTATCATCTCCATTCTAAAGTATCCTGACTTGATACCAATGCATTGGGATTTTTCAACACTGTTGTCCTATATTTCAAAACAAAAAGGGGTTTGTAGCACAGGAATGAGTTTTCAATGCATCTGACATACCTAATGACTGTACATGAGTTTGAACTTCAATCTTCAGGTTCTCTCAGTAGTAAAGTTCTTGGGGAAAAACATCATTCTTACTAAAGAAAGATCAATACTGGGTAGTTTTTTATTTACAGAGAAGTAATAAAACAGAGAGTAGAAATTTCAACAATCTCATTTTAAAATTCTTTGAACACAATAAACCAAAAAAAGCCCCACTGTAACCAGCCCTACACAAACAAAATCTAGTAATAAAATAACAAAGTCAAGTAATTATACAATGTGTACAAGTATATAAAAAGCATACAACAGCTGGCAGTGAAAGCCAAGAGTTCTCTTGGCTAAACAAATATGTGTCACATATGAGAGATGGTGGATGCTCTAGGAATACAGAATCTGAAGCAGTAGATGACCATGATGATAATGAAGCAGCTGCTGCATTTGCCACATTATTAATTCAGGTAGATGGCAAAGATGAAGGTGAGGCAGCTGTGAGGTGATCAGTCATCTGCTACTAACCTAGTGAGGCAGCTGTGAGGTGATCAGTCATCTGCTACTAACCTAGTGAGGCAGCTGTGAGGTGATCAGTCATCTGCTACTAACCTAACACTAGTCAGCTACACTTCTTGAGTATTGCACTCACATTTATTACCTTATTTCTAATTTTATGAAGTACCATTTAAAGTGATTCTGTCTCACAGCAACAGGTGTCATACCATCATGAAACTAACTTTAATTCCCTCTCATGATATGCTTGGAAAATTTTTCTAGTTTACTTTGTCTTTAACATGAGTTTATTGTAGTTAGTGAGGAATCGTATGCTAGTAAATTAAAAAAAAACATCACATGATGGACAATCTACTTCTTTACAGATCCTTTATATTAAACACCCACCATGGTTATGTACTTTCATATTTCACTTGGCAATTAATTTAAAATTATGGAATATCTGTCAATAAATTTTCCTGTATTCCTAATAAGGTACGGAATTTGGTGCTTTGTAACAACCAATAAATGCATATGCAGTAGCTAAGTTAAATTCTGATTATTTCTTTGTCTGTGCTAAAATATCCTAACATTTTCCTCTAAGTTTTTAGGAACGATAACAATATACCGTGTTCTTTTTTCTAAGAAATATATCTATTTTTGAAGTTTTTAACACTAAACTGAAGAAACACTATCTAAAATAAATACAAGACTGTCTGAAGTATGAGAGCATATATTTTTCTGTATACTGACAAAGAGTAAGAGGGAGTCAGCAGGAAATGAGTTAACACACAGAGCAACAACTGAGTGTCTTATTTTCATTGAATTTCCCCCTCATTGATAACCTAATATACAAGTTTGTAATGATTTCACACTTCATATTAATAAAAAATTACAAAGCGCAGTCTGACTTCAGATAAATATATAATTCTATTACAAATTTAGCTATAACTTTATATCAATTAAAAGAATGACAGGAGACTTAAAATTAAACGTGTAATTCCTCGGATAGAGGATTTTAATTATCATCCTTTATATGACTAGGCCAACGGCCTATATGACACTGATGAGAACAAACATATAGGACATCTAAGAATTGCAATGCCAACATCAAGATCTAAATGAGGTGTTATCATGTACAAGACAAATCAATGAACTAAGGAGTGAAACATAAACCATACATAAAAATATATTTTCTAAAGTAAACAGAATATAAGTTATAATTTCTTCATTAACAAAATACAGAAAATAAAATAACAGCTTTTTTCAGGTAATGGCTAATGGTAAAATTTAATACTTTGAAATATTTACTAAACTATAATGAGCTACAGTGAAACCCTGATATAACTGACTCATACAGAAAATGTGGTGTCAGTTTCAACAAAACTCTATTGAATCAAAATGTTCAATGCAGTGAATATGGTCCGTTGTATGGATAGCCTACTCGACACACACACACATTATGGACCATAACTTGATGCAGTGGTCTTGGTCTGTTGTACGGGGAGAATAGAGATACTGTGAACAAAAACTTGATGCAGATGACTTGGTCCATTGAATGGGGAGTGTACCAGACACACACTACTACTAACAGACAAAACCTTCATGCAGCAGACTTAGTTCATTGTGTCGAACATTTGTCCTTCCAAATATTTTGTCCTTTACAGTATATCTGAAATGCATTATATAGGAAGTTCGTTATATCAAGGTTTTACTGTATTTGCATTAACTATTCCTACATAAAACATTCAAATAAACTTTATAATCTCTTGAAGCTAACTGATCATACAGCATTTAAACAAGGTAAACACATAAAAATTGGACTTCCTTAAAAAAGTTTATTTCCCTTAAAGAGTCTTATAAAAATACAGTACTTTGAAAATCATCTGGCATCTCAATAATGGGCAGAAAAGACATGATTGCATTAAAGTGACCTATTTAATAATGAATGTGCACATCCTCGTATGACTTTCAAAATGTTTGTGTTTATCTTGAGAACAGCATCTTATTGTTATGATACAGTGTAATTTCAATAAACATTAAAATACAAGAATGAAATGTGATTTCCACAATGTCTTTCAAGACAGTCTGACTTCTGTCTCCTCATTGCTGGCACTAAGTTTATGCATCTGTTGATGCTGTTAAACAGCAGTGGGTGCGACTCGTTGCTGAACCGTCGACTGTGTGACTTTGGCTCCTGGAAGTGCTGATAGCATCTGCAAACACAATTCCTCCCATTAATAACTATTCACAGTTAACTACCCATCTATTCCTATCAAGTAATTTATCTTAAAATTTATTCACCAAGTAATACAATGACAAAATAAATATACAAGCGGTTTTAAAGTAAATACGTAATATATTTTTTAACACGGTCATTTCCCACTGAGGCCGGGTGACCCAAAAAGAATGAAAAAACTTTCATCATCATTCAACACTTTCACCATCATTCACACATAATTACTGCCTTTGCAGAGGCACTCAGACACAACAGAAATAATAAATACATATATCATCTCACAACAAATACTATACATTACAGTTTCCATCTATCTATAATATTCCAACTATTGTATTCATAACCAATGCAGTTTCTTCTTAACACATAAACAGTCTTCCAGTAAGGTAGGGTAACCAAAAGGAAACACAATCACCATTATTCATTCAGTTGCTGTCTTCTCAGAAATGTGCAGATATCATAATCCTAATGACACTGTGAAGGCAACATTCCCACCCATCATGGAGAGTGTAAGCACTAATTATCATCTTCAGAGCCTAAGTGAGACTAACCAGTTTCTCCCAAATCCCTGTATAAATATTGCCCTGCACACACTTCATCAAATTCTAAAAATCACTTGTCTACACTTTTTTTTTCAACACATCGGTCATCTCCTACCGAGGCAGGGTGACCCAAAAAGAAAATACTTTCATCATTCAACACTTTCACCTCACTCATACATAATCACTGTCTTTGCAGAGGTGCTCAGATATGACAGTTCAAAAGTGCCTCCCAACTGCCAATATCCCAAACCCCTCCTTTAAAGTGCAGGCATTGTACTTCCCATTTCCAGGACTCAAATCTGCTCACCCATGCCTGCTGGATACCCAAGCCCCCACCATGCTAAACCTCCTTTGCACCTTCTCTCTAACCCTTCTTGGGATCTCCCATACTCCTTCCACCCATACAATACAATTCTTCATTTCAAATTACTGCATCCGTGGCAGCACCAAGGGAAGCTTGGGGAGCTTTAGCCCTCTAAGTAATAATAAAAATACTAGTAATATTAATACTGCTACCTCAAAACAAGTCTCCTAGCCCCACTTCATCCGGATAGCCATCCCCAAGGCCCTCCTAGTACAGAAATTCCGATACCATCTCTTTAATGCACACACACAAAACATACCATAATCTGAAGACCCACAGAATAATGCAGTATCTCTCAACAAATGCAATCATTGTTTCCTTGCAATGAACTAATCATATACTCAGTCTTTAATCTTCCCTGACTTTTTTTTTACCGTCCTAGACCTTTAATATCTATAGCTACATTTTAAACTCAGAAGATATTCTTGGCTATTCATCGATGCAAAAAAAAGAAGAAAAAAAAAATCCACATTAAGTTATTTAACCTGAATGTAATTTTTATTCTATTTATAATTATTTAAATTTTTAAATACTTTTAATTTGACTGCAGTCAATGCAAAAAACTCTTGACAATTACCTGTGAGAGGTCAACACCAGTAAGAGCATGGACAGCAGGGGGAAGCTCACCACATAACTTTGTTATAGCATTACTCATGGTATCCCCTCCACCAACCATCACAATTTCCTCGGTCTTTGCCAATGGGGCTGCAATTTCAGCAGCAATCTGAACATTAATAAAAATAGTTAATTTTTATTTTAATAAACCTAGAGGTATGTACTTGTAACTGCAATATAGCACAAACTCAGTGTAACAGAAATGAGTTTTGAGACAACTACAATATAATAATACAGGATATGCACATAATACCCACGCAATATTTAAGGCTCAGATTTCTTAAGTTTTCTTTGAAGAATACAAAGTATATTCTTAAAACAAAATTAAAACTAACAATAAGCAGGATGGAAGTTGCAAGAGCATGCTGATATTACAGAATATTAATACAAAATTAAAATTACTGCTGCATTGCCTTAAGACAAGTCACAGATGACCTCACTGAAAGTTCAATAGTAAGGACTAATTACATCAACTTCAAACGAATATTAAATTTAACTAATCTGTCTAGACATAAATTAGTATCAATATATTCACTAATATGAATGTCATTCATTAAAAAAATGCATACAATGTAACTAAGTTCTATACCTGAGGTAGGCTATCCAATACCATCGACATAATCGCAGCTTCTCCATACTGTTTATAAGCCAAAGCCTTCAGCTTCATGCTCTCAGCCTCTGCCTTACCAACTGCCTCCACACTATAAGCCTCTGCCTCTCCAATGCGTCTTATCCTCTCAGCTTCAGCCCTGGCTGCTTCCACGGTCTACAACCAAGTAATTGAATAAGTAAATGGGAAATAATACATCATTATGAATACATCATTATCTTGATCAACAATTCCCTATTTTACACATTTATGGAGTGAGGAAGTACTTGCCAGTAGATATGAATTGGATATAGATACATCAGCCACACTACTGTATTTAAATCCAGTATTCCTGGTGAGGTCCATGACTCAACCAGTATGTCTGGATCCATGGAGTCACTGACAGTTTCTGGCCAGTTTTTCCACACACTATTATTTATTAATGACATTGTATTGCATATTTTACATCACTCAAACTGTTCTCTTTGTTTTTAATTAACATTATTCTCATGAGTTGGGAAAATGTTTCTCAGCAATACGCCATCAATGTAGTTATAATACCAGAATAACCAACAAGTTAAGAGGTATATTTTGTTGATTTTGGTACTCTAGTCAAACAATGAGAAGTCTTTCAATGCCTACACCAAATTACTAAGGGTGCGAGTTAGCCTATGGCAGAAGTCAAGATTTACATTGTGAGCACTTTGTCACTATCATATTTAGCATGAATGGTAAACATTTTTGTATAGAAAAAAGCAAGACCTCTTGTGACTGCACCTGGTTTCTCCTCATGAGCATCATGCCAACATAATTTGGCCATTTTGGTGTCTTAAGTAATAGTCTTTCTTTTAGCCTTTGCATTACCACAATCCTCACCACATGATGCCCTTTAGGCCTCATTTGCTAGGATAAATTGTACTATTTCAAAAGGGACAAAATGCAAAAAAACTACACGATTTCTCTTACAAGGCTACACTGGTTTACATAGCCACCACAGCTCTGGAGCAAAACACTTTAAGATTTTTTTTTTTTCAACAAGTCGGCCGTCTCCCACCGAGGCAGGGTGACCCAAAAAGAAAGAAAATCCCCAAAAAGAAAATACTTTCATCATCATTCAACACTTTCACCTCACTCACACATAATCACTGTTTTAGCAGAGGTGCCCAAAATACAACAGTTTAGAAGTATATACATATAAAAATACACAATATACCCCTCCAAACTGCCAATATCCCAAACCCCTCCCCTGAAGATATTTGCTATTAATCTCAAAGATGGGTGTCATTATGAGGGTTTACTCTTAATGTATTTATTCTATAGTGAAATTTATGTTAAATATATACCTATACAGGTTTTTGAGGACACCACCTACACTCAAATAATATTACAGTAAACTCATACTATCACACCAGCATACTATCCACAGCAATATTTTCACCAATTCATAAACTAGTTGAAAAGACCTCCACATCAATTGTTATAAAAAAAGTGAATAGTTCATTTACTCTTATATGCTACTGGCAATCAGCCCTGTGCCTTGCTACCTCAATCTGATACAGTGTAAAGATATGTTTTCTACATTTTCAACTCACAGGCCATCTTCCAACAAGGCAGGGTGACCCAAAGAAAATGCATTCATCATTATACATTCAGATACCATCTTTCCAGAGATGTACTGACATCACAATCAGATTACCCTCTAACCACAACATCCCCACCCACACTTTATAATACAATAAAAGCTCATTACTGAACTAATAGGAGGAGGGGGTGTATGATAATGCTGATTGTCTGCAACTCTCAAATTATGAAATTATTATTTCATGATTGTCAAGTTGTCTTCTGAAATAGAAGACTTGGTCTGCTGATGCAGAAGACAACCAGTAACCTGTAGTAGTACTACAGTACAGTACTGCACTGTATAGTAATTTTATGGTGCTCTACATAATTTACAGTAAATTTGCTTACCATTTTGTGGAGGAGAGATGAGGTGTAAACTGCTGTGACTGTTAGTGATGACTCATTCTAAGTCATCACTAACAGAATAAATCTGACTCAGAATAAATCTGACTCAGAGGAGCTGTAAAGCTCCATTAATGTAAATATCAGTGCCAATGAGTCACCAGACTCAAATTTCTTCCTAACACAGAAAAATTTTTTTTTCTTGGCACCACCACCTTTGCTTTTGAAGCCATTGCTAACTGCATTTACTATATTACTACAATCTAAGGAAAATTAGAGACTGAATAATGAGTGTATGTATGAGTGAGCAGAAACAATAAACTGGGATGGATGGCCTATACAAGAGAACAACGAAAATGGGTAAGTCCTGGTTGTGGTCACTTTGGCCCATACCAGACAAACGTTGGAGTTAACAGATTTGGCCTGATACTTCGGAAGACAACTGGGCACTATCACTACAAACAAAATGTGGAACTGCGGACTTTTGTCCATTTTGTCCAATTAAAACATTTGTCCAGCTAATTTTTTTGTCTGAAATTGCCAAAATCCGTTAATGAGAGGGTTAACTGTACTTTGTTTTGCACAGTATCATGAATGGAAGTTTCCAATTATTTTAAATTTTATGATTAGAAAGACCAAAATTATTTTGCTATATACAGTACTTTCTTCTTCTTTCAACAAACCAGCCATATCCCACCGAGGCAGGGTGGCCCAAAAAGAAAAACGAAAATTTCTCTTTTTAGTAATTTATACAGGAGAAGGAGTTACTTGCCCCTTGCTTCCGGTATTTTATTTTAGTTGCCTCTTACAACATGCATGGCTTGCGGAGGAATGAATTCTGTTCCACTTCCCCATGGAGATAAGAGGAAATAAACAAAACCAAGAACTAGTAAGAAAACAGAAGAAAACCCAGAGGGGTGTGTATATATATGCTTGTACATGTATGTATAGTGTGACTTAAGTGTACAAGTAGAAGTAGCAAGACGTACCTGAAATCTTGCATGTTTTGAGACAGAGGAAAGACACCAGCAATCTACCATCATGTAAAACAAGTACGTACAGGCTTCTGTTTTACACTCACTTGGCAGGACGGTAGTACCTCCCTGGGCGGTTGATATATAGTACTGTGTAAGTAAAATACATCAGTACATTGATTAAGTTCTCATATTAATTGTTCTAAATTTTGTGCTGAACTATGATGGCTTCCTCATAGTAACTCCCATCTTACCTGCTGCTATTTACATAATGTAATTCTAATTTTCCCTGATTGTGTTATCCTTTTATAGTGGTTTCCACTGATAGAAGAAAACCCAAGTAGTAAATAAATAAGACTTGTATCATACCTAAATATATCTGTACTGTGCAACATTTTTCACTGAAGATTTATAATCTTACCTGTGTACGTCTACCTTGTGCTATAGTTTCCACACGGTAACTCTCAGCTTCGGCAGGTAGGCGTACAGTTGCTATTAACTCTTTCTCTTTGCGCTTTATTTCTTGCTCCTCAACCTAGATCAGGAATAAATAGTGTATAATTTTTAATGCAGCATTATCAATAGACAAAAGTTTTATCAACAAATTAATTATAGGGTCGATTATGAGATTTAATTTAGACGAGTCTTGCAAAACATTACTAAACAAGGCTACCAGTACTTATTAATTTCAGATCTGACAACTTTCTCCCTATGAAAATTTTTTTTCTGAAAGGCAGGCAGCCTCATAAATACCATTCCATAAAATTTAGGCCACATTTATATGACAGAGACTTTTAGAAGTGTAGCACTTTAAACATCTACTGAAATATTTTACATGAGATGTTCCCAAAATGATTGCTTTCTAACAATAAAAATAAAATATCATGCGCAAAAAAAAACGAACAAGACAGATACAATAAATTGATATACATAGTTACAAATAAAAAACAGAACAAGACAATAAATATAAGTATCAATAATGTAACAGTTTAAAAGTATTACAATAAATAATTAATGACAATCCCTTAATTTTTAAATTAACATCTATTTTCATATAATGTATAACATACCCCTGTTGAGACAATGTGAACAATTAATGTAAATGATATTAATCTAACTAGAAATATAATCCTTTTCAATTTATATATGGTGTTCCCAGAAACTTTAACAATCTAGGTTTCATTAATGTATGATTTCATAAGACAGTCACATTTTATAATCCCATCTGAGAAGAATGTAATAAACTTAACTTAAACCGGAACAGAGCATGACTGATGAACAGAAAACTACAGTTCATATACAATGGTTACCTCAATCTGCTTTCTCCTCTCCACAACTTCAATAGCAATCTCTTCATTTCTGATTTTCTGTCGTGTTTTTGCTGACTGGAGTTCATAAGCTAGCTGGGCTTCTGCTTTCTGAAATAATTAACAAATTAATAAGTATTATATACTGTAATTCAAAAAATTAATATTTACATAAAAATCTCAGTTTAAAATTTCATGTTCTGTCTACTTGAAGTGACTACGTAAATACAGTGAGATATCACACTTTGGAAGTTCCTCTTAACCTTTTGTGCATTTTGAAAAATTTTCACAGTCCAGGTAATGAAACTCATTGGCCATTTTCCACCCAGGAAGGGTGATTATAAAAAAACATTGAGCCTCACTCACTCTAGTTGCCATTCCAGGAGGGCACTGAGTCCTAGTCTACTTTGCTCCACCAAACACCAACCACTCAACCCACTTAATGAAGGACATTAAAAAAAAAAATTTTTTTAATCAATAAAACTTTTCTGATACATGTCCTGGAAATTCAAACAATGGGAAAGACTTGCAACATTCAGTGAAGATTTGTAACTTGAAACTTTAGCCATTTTCAAATATTAATATAGAACCTGTACATGTTTATCTGGCATGCCTCGCTTTTTTTTTTTTTTCAACAAGTCGGTCCGTCTCCCACCGAGGCAGGGTGACCCAAAAAAAAGAAAGAAAATCCCCAAAAAGAAAATACTTTCATCATCATTCAACACTTTCACCACACTCGCACATTATCACTGTTTTTGCAGAGGTGCTCAGAATACAACAGTTTAGAAGCATACACATATAAAGATACACAACATATCCCTCCAAACTGCCAATATCCCAAACCCCTCCTTTAAAGTGCAGGCATTGTACTTCCCATTTCCAGGACTCAAGTCCAACTATATGAAAATAACCGGTTTCCCTGAATCCCTTCACTAAATATTACCCTGCTCACACTGCAACATATCGTCAGGTCCCAAGTACCATTCATCTCCAATCACTCCTATCTAACACGCTCACGCACGCTTGCTGGAAGTCCAAACCCCTTGCCCACAAAACCTCCTTTACCCCCTCTCTCCAACCCTTTCGAGGATGACCCCTACCCCGCCTTCCTTCCCCTATAGATTTATATGCTTTCCATGTCATTCTACTTTGATCCATTCTCTCTAAATGACCAAACCACCTCAACAACCCCTCTTCTGCCTTCTGACTAATACTTTTATTAACTCCACACCTTTTCCTAATTTCCACACTCTGAATTTTCTGCATAATATTTACACCACACATTGCCCTTAAACAGGACATCTCCACTGCCTCCAACCATCTCCTCGCTGCTGCATTTACCATCCAAGCTTCACACCAATATAAGAGTGTTGGTACTACTATACTTTCATACATTCCCTTCTTTGCCTTCATAGATAACGTTTTTTGCCTCACATTTAGTTATAAAATAATCACCCTCAAAACCGTCATCTAGACAGTAACCTCAAATAAAAAATATAATTCTATGAGCCTTGAAACCTTATAAGACTTTTGCAATAGCAATAAAAGTTTTACACACTTACCGCAGTGTTAATTTCTCTGTCAAACTGGGCCTTTTGGAGTTTGTACATTCTGGCATTATCTTCAATCTTTGTGTCAGTGTTGTACTTCACGTCCATTGCAGTTTTTTCGGACTCAGCTTCCTATATTTAAGTAATTAAAAGCATTATTCATCAAATAATAAAGCTAATCATAATGAGTGCTTTAGGACAAAATGGAAATAAAACCAATGTGGTAATGAAATAGAAAAAGACAATCTTAGCCTTACTACTTTCAACAACACAGCAATTTCATCATTTATATCATCAAACAAAAATATATTTTTAAAAACTTTAAATGATGTATACAAAATATTATTAACCTGATGCACAATGATACTCTTGACTCTGTATAATACTTCTCCCTAGGCTTAAATTCAATATATTTCAATAATTCAAAAACCCAGTAGTAGAGACTTTAATACAATAATTTTAATTTTATTTATTTTCCTTATGTCTGGTATACAGGTTTCATCTAATGTTGGATGATTGAAAGTGTGCCAGTCAACTCAAATTTAGGAAGAACAATACAGTGGAATCTCACTATACAATCCGCTCCCTATTCGAACAAAGCTCAGCACTCGACCAAACAAATACGACCTGCCAGCACTTTGCTGTAAATTATTTCGTGTTTCCTCGCATTTTTTGGTGTTTTTTGTATTATTTGTATAAATAAATCACCATGGGGCCTACAACGATTAGTGGTAACAGCCAACCAAACAGAAAATTGTTTGGGAAGAACTTGTTCGATACTCAAACGGAGCGGCACTTGAACAGCCTTCTGGAATGAATCAAGGTCGCATACTGAGGTTCATAAGAACATAAGAAAGAAGGAACACTGCAGCAGGCCTACTGGCCCCACTGTACTTCAAACAGGGCATGCCAAGGTAGACCTCATTAAAACATTGTACAACATTTATCAAGATAAAAATAAAAAATATATTATGGGCATCAAATGCTACACAAACAAGAAGTTTGTGAGTCAGAAGAAGTCAAAAGTTTGAGCTTGTTTGCTCATCATCTTACATGATATACGTACAATATGAATTACTTTTTCCCAGAGTAGAAGTGCACACAAAAATTAAAAGGGGGAGGGGGATATATCACCAACTATAGGCTTAATTTTCTTTCCAAAGCCCTTCTTAGTATTTTTTACCTGAATATAGGAAAAAAAAAAGGAGTAACAATGAAAAATGAAATAACACTGTCGTGTCAATTTTTGAGTGTGGTAAACTTACCCTAATACCGGCATCCCTGTTGGCCTGAGCTACACCTATGTCTGCATCTCTCTTGACGGCTGCTGTCTGAGACTTGCCCAAAGATGACAAGTACTCCACACGGTCATACACATCCTGTATGGCAAGTATTTTCATTACACCACTATATTACTCAGTCTACTAAGAAAAATGTTAACAGCCTATCAAGTGCAGTTCTTATACATCCCATATAGGTCAATATAATCACAATTATTTTTTTAACACACTGGTCGTCTCCTTTCACCATCATTCGCACTATCACTGTCTTGCCAGAGGCACAGAGATATTCTTATTTAAATAAAATACATCAAATTCAGTATATGAGAACATTATCAATGATTCAATGAACTGCAGAATAATAAAATTAAAAGATTATAAAGTGTATTGGAGAGTCAAAGTGGTAAAATATTTTTTGTCCGACTTACCTAAACTTGATGAACTAGTGAAAATTCTAAAATGTATTAAGAGACCTTGTTAAAAATTATTACAAATTAATGTATGATAGTGGCAAGCACTGACATGGTGATAGTGAAGAGTGAGAGTAGCGGAGGTGGTGGTGTCGAGGATGAGGGTGGTGGCAAGGATAGTGATACTTGAAAGATGCTTCTGGGGACAACTACCCCATGGCCTAGTGTGGTGGTGATGGGGAAGGTAATAGGGATGGGAGGGGGGGATGGGGATGAGGAGGGTGGTGGTGATGAGAAAGGCAGTGGATGGAAAGGATGATGGCAAGAGTTTTAGGTGATAGTGGTGGTAAGGGAGATAGTGAGGGTTATGATGGTGAGTGTGGTGATAGTGAGTGATGGTGAGGGTGGTGGTAATGGCAAGGATGGTGATGATTGGTAGTGAGTGTGTGATGTTGCTCCAGCCTCAAAATCCACTTGAGATAATATTCAAGTAAGCTACATAACTTGTATCAAGTATAACTCAATATACATACCTATTGCACTTATCTGGATTTTGGTCTTATCTCCTCTATTACTAAGAATTTTATTATTAAAGAACTTTTTTTTTTTCAACAAGTCGGCCGTTTCCCACCGAGGCAGGGTGACCCAAAAAAAAGAAAGAAAATCCCCAAAAAGAAAATACTTTTATCATCATTCAACACTTTCACCACACTCACACATTATCACTGTTTTTGCAGAGGTGCTCAGAATACAACAGTTTAGAAGCATATACGTATAAAGATAAACAACATATCCCTCCAAACTGCCAATATCCAAAACCCCTCCTTTAAAGTGCAGGCATTGTACTTCCCATTTCCAGGACTCAAGTCCGACTATATGAAAATAACCAGTTTCCCTGAATCCCTTCACTAAATATTACCCTGCTCACACTCCAACAGATCGTCAGGTCCCAAGTACCATTCGTCTCCATTCACTCCTATCTAACACGCTCACGCACGCTTGCTGGAAGTCCAAGCCCCTCGCTCACAAAACCTCCTTTACCCCCCTCTCTCGAACCCTTTCGAGGACGACCCCTACCCCGCCTTCCTTCCCCTATAGATTTATATGTTTTCCATGTCATTCTACTTTGATCTATTCTCTCTAAATGACCAAACCACCTCAACAACCCCTCTTCTGCCCTCTGACTAATACTTTTATTAACTCCACACCTTTTCCTAATTTCCACACTCCGAATTTTCTGCATATTTACACCACACATTGCCCTTAGAAAGGACATCTCCACTGCCTCCAACCGTCTCCTCGCTGCTGCATTTACCACCCAAGCTTCACATCCATATAAGAGTGTTGGTACTACTATACTTTCATACATTCCCTTCTTTGCCTCCATAGATAACGTTTTTTGACTCCACATATACCTCAACGCACCACTCACCTTTTTTCCTTCATCAATTCTGTGATTACCCTCATCCTTCATAAATCCATCCGCCGACACGTCAACTCCCAAGTATCTGAAAACATTCACTTCTTCCATACTTCTCCTCCCCAATTTGATATCCAATTCTTCTTTATCTAAACCATTTGATACCCTCATCACCTTACTCTTTTCTATGTTCACTTTCAACTTTCTACCTTAACACACATTCCCAAACTCATCCACTAACCTTTGCAATTTTTCTTTAGAATCTCCCATAAGCACAGTATCATCAGCAAGAAGGAACTGTGTCAATTCCCATTTTGAATTTGATTCCCCATAATTTAATCCCACCCCTCTCCCCAACACCCTAGCATTTACTTCTTTTACAACCCCATCTATAAATATATTAAACAACCATGGTGACATTACACATCCCTGTCTAAGACCTACTTTTACCAGGAAGTAATCTCCCTCTCTTCTACACACCCTAACCTGAGCCTCACTATCCTCATAAAAACTCTTTACAGCATTTAGTAACTTACCATCTATTCCATATACTTGCAACATCTGCCACATTGCTCCTCTATCCACTCTATCATATGCCTTTTCTAAATCCATAAATGCAATAAAAACTTCCTTACCTTTATCTAAATACTGTTCACATATATGCTTCAATGTAAACACTTGATCTACACATTCCCTACCCACTCTGAAACCTCCTTGCTCATCCGCCATCCTACATTCTGTCTTACCTCTAATTCTTTCAATTATAACCCTACCGTATACTTTTCCTGGTATACTCAGTAAACTTATTCCTCTATAATTTTTACAATCTCTTTTGTCCCCTTTCCCTTTATATAAAGGGACTATACATGCTCTCTGCCAATCCCTAGGTACCTTCCCCTCTTTCATACATTTATTAAACAAAAGTACCAACCACTCCAACACTATATCCCCCCTTGCTTTTAACATTTCTGTCATGACCCCATCAGTTCCAGCTGCTTTACTCCCTTTCATTCTATGTAATGCCTCACGTACTTCCCCCACACTTACATTCTGCTCTTCACTCCTAAAAGATGGTATACCTCCCTGGCCAGTGCATGAAATTACCGCCTCCCTTTCTTCCTCAACATTTAAAAGTTCCTCAAAATATTCTCGCCATCTACCTAATACCTCCCTCTCCCCATCTACTAACTCCCCTACTCCGTTTTTAACTGACAAATCCATACTTTCCCTAGGCTTTCTTAACTTGTTTAACTCACTCCAAAATTTTTTCTTATTTTCATTAAAATTTCTTGACAGTGCCTCTCCCACTCTATCATCTGCTCTCCTTTTGCACTCTCACACCACTCTCTTTACCTTTCTTTTACTCTCCATATACTCTGCTCTTCTTACAACACTTCTGCTTTGTAAAAACCTCTCATAAGCTACCTTTTTCTCTTTTATCACGCCCTTTACTTCATCATTTCCACCAATCACTCCTCTTTCCTACTGCACCCACCCTCCTATAACCACAAACTTCTGCCCCACATTCTAATACTGCATTTTTAGAACTATTCCAACCCTCTTCAACCCCCCCCCCCCCCCACTACTCATCTTTGCACTAGCCCACCTTCTGCCAATAGTTGCTTATATCTCACCCGAACTTCCTCCTCCCTTAGTTTATACACTTTCACCTCCCTCTTACTTGTTGTTGCCACCTTCCTCTTTTCCCATCTACCTCTTACTCTAACTGTAGCTACAACTAAATAATGATCCGATATATCAGTTGCCCCTCTATAAACATGTACATCCTGGAGCCTACCCATCAACCTTTTATCCACAATACTTAATCTAACAAACTATTTTCATTACTTGCTACATCATACCTTGTATATTGATTTATCCTCTTTTTCATAAAATATGTATTACTTATTACCAAATCTCTTTCTACACATAGCTCAATTAAAGGCTCCCCATTTACATTTACCCCTGGCACACCAAATTTACCTACTACTCCCTCCATAACATTTTTACCCACTTTAGCATTGAAATCCCCAACCACCATTACTCTCACACTTGATTCAAAACTCCCCATGCATTCACTCAACATTTCCCAAAATCTCTCTCTCCTCTACACTTCTCTCTTCTCCAGGTGCATACACGCTTACTATAACCCACTTTTCACATCCAATCTTTATTTTACTCCACATAATCCTTGAATTTATACATTTATAGTCCCTCTTTTCCTCCCATAGCTTATCCTTCAACATTATTGCTACTCCTTCTTTAGCTCTAACTCTGTTTGAAACCCCTGACCTAATCCCATTTATTCCTCTCCATTGAAACTCTCTCACCCCCTTCAGCTTTGTCTCACTTAAAGCCAGGACATCCAGCTTCTTCTCATTCATAACATCCACAATCATCTCTTTCTTATCATTTGCACAACATCCACACACATTCAGACTTCCCACTTTGACAATTTTCTTCTTATTATTCTTTTTAGTAATCTTTACAGGAAAAGGGGTTACTAGCCCATTGTTCCCGGCATTTTAGTTGACTTTTACAACACGCATGGCTTACGGAGGAAAAATTCTTATTCCACTTCCCCATGAATATAAAAGGAAAAGTAATAAGACCAAGAACTATTAAGATAAAATCAAAGAAAACTTAGATGAGTGTGGATAAATAAACGTGTACATGTATGTGTAGTGTGACCTAAGTGTAAGTAGAGTAGCAAGACATACCTGTAATCTTGCATATTTATGAGACAGACAAAAGACACCAGCAATCCTACCATCATGTAAAACAATTACAGGCTTTCGTTTTACACTCACTTGGCAGGACGATAGTACTTCCCTGGGTGGTTGCTGTCTACCAACCTACTACCTATAGAGTATTATTAGCAAAGGTCCTGTACGTCTATATGACTAAATTATGACTTACTTTAATGGTAAAAGAGAGTATTTCAATACCCATCCTGCCCACATCCATGCCAGCAACTTCTCGGACAAGCTGAGCAAACTGGTCTCGATCTTGGTAAACCTCTTCAACTGTCAATGTAGCTGTGGAAATAGAAATGGATAGAGGAAATTCTCCATAATCAATTACAACATACAGGAGGGCCCCACTTATACAGTAGGTTAGGTTCTGGGCTACTGCTGTAAAGTGAAAAGTGCTGCAAAGTGAATCATAGACTTTTTTCACTTTCAAATGCATATAAAAGCCTGATAACATGTTTACACTATCATATATTGAGTAATAGAGTTAGGCCTAAAATATGCATATACAGTACACATATTACTTTAAAATATGCATATATCGTACACATATTACTTAGTTTACAGTGAGTGGTGAATATATTTACTGTAAGAAGTCTGAATATATGAAGAAAGGATATACGTACGTACATTGAAAACCACTGTTTTAGCAATTAGCAAAACATCGTAAAACAAAGCGTTATAAAGCGGGGCCCTCCTGTACATACATACATGCATTTTTTTCAACAAACCTGCCATATCCCACCAGGCAGGGTGACCTAAAAAGAAAAATGAAAGTTTATCTTTTTAAATTTATTAATGTATACAGGAGAAGGGGTTACTGGCCCCTTACTCCCGGCATTTTAGTCGCCTCTTACAACCTGCATGGCTTATGGAGGAAGAATTCTGTTCCACTTCCCTATGGAGAACATACATACATACATATATCTCCATGGGGAAGTGAAAGAGAATTCTTCCTCTGTAAGCCATGCGTGTCCTAAGAGCAACTAATATATCAGGAGCAAGGGGCTTGTAACCCCTTTTCCTGTATACATTACTAAAGTTAAAAAGAGAAACTTTTGTTTTTCTTTTTAGGCCACCCTGCCTTGGTGGGATACAGCCAGTTTGTTGAAAGAATAAAGATATACACCTACCATCCGACTTACGACCTGCTCGACTTACGACCACTTGACTTACGACCGTGTTTTTTATGCCAAATTTCTGGGAAATAAACAACTATTTGTGCTGTACACAGTGTTTATCCTAAACCTTACAGTATAAAATACAGTACTAACAGCATAAAAAGTAAAGTAAAACATGAAATACCAAAATAAAACAATAAAATAAAGTCATTACAAAAAAGTTTTGTTGATATTCAGTAGTAAAGTTCGACTTACGACCATTTCGACTTACGACCGGTTTCTCGGAACCGAACTCGGTCGTAAGTCGGATGGTAGGTGTATTCTGAAATGGTATAGCATTTTTTTCTGGAGGTAATGACACCAAACATGCAAATTTTAATGGAAAACTTATGGGCTTACCCAGGTGCAAAATAGTAGTCTGGGTGCAATTTATGCACTGGTGATTTTGCCTTTTGCCAAATCTGAGTCCTATTTTAAGACATTTCCATACTCAATATGATCTAATTTCTAGTTATTTTGCTAGTATGCCTTCTGTTCTATTGAGTGAGTCAAAGAAACTGCCTATTCAACTATCAAACTACTCTATAAAGTGCAGGTAAATTAGTAATATGGACAATTTTACATAAAACTCTGGTTTTTATGACTCTCTGATCGTGGGTTCTATACCTGCCTATGGTATGGCTTGTTTGTAATCATGTCATTATGATTTTGTGAGACAATTTTACATAAAATTCAACAAATTCCAAGTTAAAAATAGTTCAAGATATACAATGTAGGTATTCCAGCCACTAAAGCAATCTTTCCTCTGTTCACTGATCATGTTCCCTGGCCTCTCCTTTATAACACTTGCCCTCCATTTTGAATACAACACACAAAAAAATTGAAAGTCTTGTCCTATTTCTTGGATAATAGAATATAAACAAGATGAGTGACCATGGTTAGGCCATCCCAATAACTGAAGCAGACCTAGTAAAACCCCATAAAATAGACCGGAGGATATAGGGGGGCCTACCCTTCCCTAGAAAAATCTCTAAAAATAAAATATCTCTGCCCTATTTCAAGTTGGTATCCTTTCGATCTGAAACCAGCCCTTACACTTCTGTGCAAGGATAAGCCTTTTCACAAATGTATCTTAATATATGCAAATGACATCCAAATGAATTAGACATAGAATCCACACCAAGACAAAAGCATGGCTTCCCTTCATCATGGGAAATTATCCCTCCCGGTGCCTGGTGGCTAAAGCTCCCGCTTCAGCACACGGAGGGCCCGGGTTCGATTCCCGGCGGGTAGAAACATTTCAACACGTTTCCTTACACCTGTTGTCCTGTTCACCTAGCAGCAAATAGGTACCTGGGTGTTAGTCGACTGGTGTGGGTCGCGTCCTGGGGGACAAGATTAAGGACCCCAATGGAAATAAGTTAGACAGTCCTCGATGACGCACTGACTTTCTTGGGTTATCCTGGGTGGCTAACCTCCCGGGGTTAAAAATCCGAACGAAATCTTATCTTATCTTATCTCCCAAAATCACTATATTCCATTTCCCTCAAGGAATAATGTATCACACTCCATTCTTTAACTTTAAGCCAAGATTGATGCTTTAAATTACAGGAATATTTATGCCAAAGCACTCACTCTCTTCCCTAAACAATGTACACCAACCTACTATGGAAGCTGGTAATGCCCTAAATGTAGAACAGAGCAATACCTCCTACCTAGTGACTGAAATTCAAATAAATAAATAAGCCTCAACTCTCTAAACTGAAGCATTTGATATACCATACAGTACAGTAAATGCAATTTGCACTCAAACATGTTTACTAGTCAAATCTTGACACTGTAATTTAAGTCCCTATCATCCCTAAGTGCTATAAACTCCAACAGGAATAACTGTAACCTACTTGTAGAAAACAGACAGATGGATGGTAAAATAAAAAATTAAAAGTCAGCCCCTTTTCTCTGCATTCCTTCACATAAGTTTCAGTCATCATCATTTGTGTAAGTATTCCCACTGTGTATGAACACAATGCCTATCAAATCAAATAAAAACGAATCAAAACCTTTCAAATAGTAATATGGTCTTTGTAAATTTTTTAACACGCTGGCTGTTTCCCACCATGGTTGGGTGACCCGAAAAAGAAACACTTTCACCGTCACTCACGCTATCACTGTCTTGCCAGAGGCAAGAGTGCAGACACTGTGCTTCCCACCTCCAGGATTTAAGTCCAGTTAACCAGTTTTCCTAAATTTCTTCACAAAATATTACCTTGCTCACACTAAGACAGAACTAAGATGTACAGTGGAACCTCTACTTACAAGCGCATCCACATACGAGTTTTTCCAGATACAAGCAGTCGCTCGGTCGATTTTTTGCTTCTAGACGCGAGCAAAATTTCCAGATGCAAGCGGGCCTCAAGGGAGGTTCCTTGATGCTTGTGAGGGGCTCTTGCTCTTGATCTAGGGAACTGGATCTCAGTTGTTTGTTGGGCTATCTTATTCAAACTTGGGCAGTGCATGATGGAAAGATGCTTTTTAATGTACACCAAAAATGAAAGAAATCAGACCATAAATAACGGAGTTCACCTCTCAGCCATTAGCGGTATATTTTTGTATGATTTTTATGGTTGTATTCTCGTTTTCTTGGTCTCCTTTGATAGAATAGAAGATATACTACAGAAATAGATATGATTTTGATTGGTTTCATGACGAAAAGTGCCTTGAAATTGAGCTCAAAGTAGTAGAAATGTTTGATTCTTTGGCGATATTCAAGAGTAAACAAATGACATCACCGTCCAATACCTGTTTAATTGGAACTGCCCCTCAACCTTCACATATTGGAAAGGTCTTCAACACACTAGCAAAAGTGGGAGCAGACATCACGAGGTAGCAGTGGCAGGAAACATGAAGCAGCAGTGGCAGACAACATGAAGCAGCAGTGGCAGACAACATGAAACAGCATTGGCGGACATCATTAAGCAGCAATGGCAGACAACATGAAACAGCAGTGGCAGACCTTGTTGTACCCTATACTACTGTGTTATTCACTAATTTTTGCAAGAGAGCCACTTCGGTTAAACACATTGATTGAGAGAGCCGCAGCTACTGCAAGTTAGCATAACTCAACTAAATTAAGTAGTACTGAGCTGCTAGTGCAATATAGTAAATGAGAAAAATTAGACATGGTAATATTAGCCTGCATATCTTGTTATTAATAGCGGCTCATGAGCCACGCAATGAATATCACTGCTATACTATAAGTAAGTTTCCAAACGCCACCACGAGATTGCAGTATGTATCAAAACAATGCTCAGTCCACTCCACTCACGGTGAAGGGAATTTTCATGTTTTCCTTATGTTATTTTGCGAAAGGACAAAAAGGATGATTTCCATGGAATTAATTAAAGCAGGAAATCATAGATAAACAAACTAGGTGGAGGGTTAAGGACTTGGCCAGGTAGTACCAGTGTACCATTTGCACAATATGTAAAATACTATAGCAGGAGTCAGTGACAAAGTGCAGTATTAAGAGTGTAGCAATTAAGTGTAGCATTAAGAGTGTAGCAATTAAGTGTAGCATTAAGAGTGTAGCAATTAAGTGTAGCATTAAGAGTGCAGTAATTAAGTGTAGCATTAAGAGTGCAGCAATTATAAGTCACTCTGACTTTTTTAGGTTATCCTAGGTTCTCTACACATGTAGTCAGGAGCAGGAATGGCCACTGTGGCAGCCCTATAAACCCCAACAACAACAATGGCCAATGTCACCACCACTAGCCAAATGTGTAATGACATGTATTTTATTTATTCTAGTGTGTATATCATGTTTCTATGTTAATAATATTGTTTATTATGTCATATTGAGATGAATTGTGATAGATAAATAAGCTGTAGAGTTGATATTAGGGAAATTATTGAAGTATTTTGTTGTGCCTGGAATTCCACTGGAACGAATTAATTCCATTTCATTTAATTTAAATAAGGAAAGCTGACTCTGCAAACGAGCAAATCCAGATGTGAGCAAGGTCACGGAACGGATTAAACTTATAAGTAGAGGTTGCACTGTACTATAAATTCAAACTTACCAAGAATTGCTCTGAGGTGACCCTCCAATGTCATGAGTATGGTGCCCTTGATGTCATCTATACTCATGCCCAAGAACTGCTCAGAGGCAATCTTAGCACCTTTTCCTCTTTCATAACTTTCACCTGGGCCACCCCTGTGACAGTAACTTGGACACCTAGTGATGTCTCCACATTCTCACATCGTGGATTTAATGTAATCACCTGCAAACAAATCAACATACGAAGTTCACAAGAGGAATGTATGTGGCACCCCATGTGAGATCTAGACAAGTAACATTAGCAAAGAAAACTAGAACAAACTTTTGTAATTTTTAGTCTACCTTGGCAATAAAGAAAAGATGCCATTTTTGTGTTAGAAAATGAATCCTTTTGCTTATGATTAAATTTATATACATTATCAGCCATTAACTTGATAATGGTAAGTAATAAACAGAAAAACATTTGTTTATTGAGGTTCGGGTTTTTGACAATTTGTTAAACCCATCTTGAGAGGGGGTATACAATAGGCAAAATAAGGCTCTAAAAAAGTTATGGCTTAGTGGTTCCTATGGCCCAGTATAGGACTGAGTCTTATAAAATGAAAAGGTAATACTGTATTAAGGAAGAAGAACCATTAAAAAATACACACAAATGTAAAGTTAAGTGTAAGTAGAAGATTTTTCATTATTAATATTGTAATCTTATATCTTCATGACAGAAAAAAAAAAGACTACAGTAAGATAACCATTAGACTAACCCTTAAACTGTCCAAATTTAGATCTACATTCACTCGTGTAGCGCTCTGAACGTAGATCTACTTTTGATTTTACATGCTTTCTTATGTAAAAAAATGTTGATCTACGTTCGGAGCACTACGTGAGTGAACATAGATCTATGTTTGGACAGTTTGAGGGTTAAAACCATGCTCTAAAAATTTGAAGATAAAGGTCCACACACCTCAAGGGAGAGCCGCTGGACATCTGTGACAAACCACCATGCCCACGCCCACCCACCCACAATAGTCTTTTTGGTTGTGGCCCCACAACAGCCTCCTGCAAAAGTGAAAAACCAAACACATCAATCAAACATAACAAGAATCAAGAGCAATATTACATCTTTACATGTTTGTTTATATTTCTTTCAATACCATCAATCTACACTTCCCAACCACGAACCCTTCAGGCATTATACACAATTATAAATTAAACATATTTATATAATATTTAACACCCTTCTGTAAACATTACTTTTTAAGAGCTATGTAATCTTTGTCACCTCCATTTAAAATGAAAATCACAGGCTGGTTCAGAATTGTTTTCCCACCTCTATTTTAGACACTTTCAGTGACTGTTTTTATTATCCTCCTGCTCATGATGTAGGTGTGCAAAAGAAAAGAAAATCTTTATTTGAATTAGTAACCTCAGAATATTAATAATTTTTTATAATGGTCTTGAAGGGTGTCGCACAGCTCAGTTGGTAGCACACTCAGCTCACACACTGAGTGTCCGTTGTTGGATCCCCGGTACGGGTGGAAATGTTGGGCATGTTTTCTTACACCTGCTGCCCTTGTTCATCTAGCAGCAAGCAAGTAACTGGGTGTTAGCCTACATCCTTGGGAGTGGTAGTATACCTCAGATAGGGATGAGGCTTCGAAATAAGCTATAGTTGGATTACAGCTCTTAGCCTGTAAAACTGATTTATGAAATAAAAAAAAGAAGCAACTGTTATGGGCACTCGTACACACTATATAATAAATAAAGTTGATTTAACCTAGGATAACCTAATAATCAATGTTACTAATGTCCGTTTGAGTATACATGTATATATCTATTTACTGCTAGGGTCCGACCCAAGAACTTCTGATTGTGTGTCAAAACATCCAACCACTACGATACAAGGCTATAAATTACTTCTTTTAATAGGGCAAAAATCTAAAATCTCTCAATTTTTTTTTTATTATCACATCAGCTGCTTCCCACCAAGGCATGGAGGCCCGAAAAAGAAAAACTTTCATTGTTATTCACTCCATCACTGTCTTAGAGGCGTGCTTACACTATAGTTATACAACTGCAACATCAACACCCCTCCTTCAGAGTGCAGGCACTGTACAGTGGACCCCCGGTTAACGATATTTTTTCACTCCAGAAGTATGTTCAGGTGCCAGTACTGACCGAATTTGTTCCCATAAGGAATATTGTGAAGTAGATTAGTCCATTTCAGACCCCCAAACATACACGTACAAACGCACTTACATAAATACACTTACATAATTGGTCGCATTCGGAGGTAATCGTTATGCGGGGGTCCACTGTACTTCCCATCTTCAGGACACAAGTCCAGCCTGCCAGTTTCCCTGAATAAGTTCATAAATGCTACCTTGCTCACACTCCAACACCACATAAAATCCTAAAAACCATTTGTCTCCATTCGCTCCTATCTAACATGCTCAAGCATGCTTGTTGGAAGTCCAAGCCCCTCACACACAAAACCTCCTTTACCCCCTCCCTCGAACCTTTCCTAGGCCAACCCCTACCCCGCCTTCCCTCCACTACAGATTTATACACTCTAAGTCATTCTATTTTGTTCCATCCTCTCTATATGTCTGAACCACCTTAATAACCCCTCCTCAGCCTTCTGGATAATAGTTTTGGTAATCCTGCACCTCCTAATCTCCAGACTACGGATTCTCTGCATTATCACACCACACACTGCCCTCGGACATGACATTTCCACTGCCTCCAGTCTTCTCTTTGTTGAAATATTCACCACCCATGCTTCACACTCACACAAGAGCATTGATATAACTATACTTTCATATATACCCCTCTTTGCTTCCATGGATAATTAGTCATTAATTAATCTATGATCTAAAGAAATATTTATGACATTCAATTGAACTACTAAATGTCGTGATAATTATCTTTCTCCAGGCTTATGACTTTGTATTTGTCCATATTAAAATGCATCTGGCACTTGGAGTGAGATAGGGCCATGGGGGATGGAGAGGGGAAGCAAAAGATAGCAGGGGAGAGATTGGGAAAAGAGTAGCAAGGGGAAGAAGTTGGGAAAAGAGGAGCAAGGGGAAGAAGTTGGGAAGAGGAGCAAGGGGAAGAAGTTGGGAAAAGAGAAGCAAGGGGGAAGAGGTTGGGAAAAAAGGAGCAAGAGGAAGAGGTTGGGAAAAGAAGAGCAAAGGCAAGAAGTTGATTAAGAAGATTCAGGAAAAAACGGTGGGTGCACAAAGCAGTGGAACCACTAAGAAACACCACCAGGAGAAAGGAATTCTAGCAGAGGCCAACAGAGAGGCAGGGTCAGAAGCAAGATTCAACCTTTGCAACCACAAATAGGAGGGTACAAAAAATAGGTAAGCATGTATGAATGTGTATGCAATTACCTTCCCTTCACAGTCCTCTTCCTTCATTCCCCCTCCCTTATTTCTCTACATACCTTTTCTCCTTTCCGTCTACCTACCTTCCCCCTCTCGTTATCTTTTCTTTATTAAATCCTTTGAATTCAATTATCTATTGCAATTCTACCTACCTCTACTCTACCCACATTTCTCATCCTCTCATTCTTTCACTCTCTCTCTCATTAGTATTATCACCAGAAGATAAGACTTGCGACATAAGCTCCACAATACTGCTCACTTGTTAAGACTTCCCCATGCTGCTGCACGGAAGGAGAGAGACCAAGAAGTAGGTCCTGTAAAAGGTAGGTCCTGCAAAAGGTAGGTCTTGTAGGCACAGGCACAATTATCAAACATAGTATAAATTACCTAGGATACTCCTCCCCCCCCCAAAAAAAAAAAAAGTGTGAGGAAGCCTTGTAAAAGAGGAAGGAGTAGAGGAGGACCTGCAGGAAGTGTGGACCTGTAAATGGGGAGACCAAGTAGGTGGTGGTGAGAGAGTAAACGTGTCCAGTGACTAGTCTCTATCACCTCGCCTCCCACTCTACTACCAGACCCTCTCATTTACCACCCCCCCCCCCCCCGGTAGCCTCCCTCCACCTGCTGCTCGCTCCTTCCCAGAATATACTAGCGTCTCCCTGCTGAATGACGCCACTCACAGTAGGAAAAGAAAGGACGTGGCCAAGTTTTTATTTGAGTATTGATTTTGAAGTTACGCAGATGTTATTGGCACACATATAGAACATTATGCAGAACAACCACTGAAAAGAATAGTGAACTTCCAAGCGCTTTCGTGATTTCTCACATTAACAATGTGATAATGTGAGAAATCACGAAAGCGCTTGGACGTTCAATATTCTTTTCACAGTGGTTGTTCTGCATTTACCTGTTTACTGTGAACTTATTGCATATAGAAGATTACGTAGATTTAACCTAATATAATTCAACAGTCAAACAATGTGATTTATTTCCACAGGGGTTCCTCAGGGTAATTTAACTAATTTTAACTATCTTATTCACCGTAGTTGTGAAAACCATCACCTTTCCTTCACTATTATTGTTTATTTCACACGTTGGCTCAAAATTCTTTAGGGCTTCTTACCTGGAGTATATTTTGTTCTCCATGTTTCTGATTCTCCATGGAGAGTCTAGTTTTCCCAGTTAATCTCCTAATGACTGACATTTAGCTTTGCTGCTGCTGCTTCCTTTTCTCTCTCTCTCTCTCTCTCTCTCTCCAATTGTTTCCAGTATGTGAGTCATTATTCTATTTTGATTATTCTCCTTCCTTGACTTACTATTGTTTGGTGCTCATTATATACTATATCACTTCCATTATTACTTGCCTCTCTCCCGACATTACATTACAATACCTGCTTCGTAATCTCTGAAATCAAGTTTTCAGTCTTATCAGTTCTTCAAATCTCCGGTAACTTCTGGCCATTGTGTGAGTGCACGACTTACCTATTTGTGGTTGCAAGGGTCGATTTACAGCTCTTGGCCTCGCCTCCTCGCTTCGCTGTGTGTGTGTACACTCACCTTTTTTGTGGTTGCAGGGGTTGATTCAGAGCTCCTGGCCCCACCTCTTCGCTGGGCGTGTGTGTAATAGTATGTGGAAGGGAAAGGTCGCTCAATAAATCAATGTGCTTTAGACAGAACCTTAACTTGACGTGGCCTCACTAATTTATTGCCCCGAGGTACTTTGCTACCCAGCTCTTCCTCACTCCGGTTTACGCGCCTCGTTTATCCACCTCTGTTTATCCACTTCCCTGTTTACTCACCTTTCTACTTCCCCACTAAGGTGTCTTACATTTGACTTACGTTCTAAGTTATTTTAAATGTTTAATATAAAAAAAATAATATAAAAAATGTAAAATCTTTATATAAAACCAAATTGGATACATTAGTAGTGTGCTGGTAAGTAAAACAAGGGGTGGAACTCAAGAAGGAAAATTGCTTGGGGATGAAGTGCAGTTTAAATTACAGTACTCGACGGTGCCCTCCTTGTGTACTGATATACTGGAGGTCTGGTCTGAGAACGGGCCGCGGGGGCCATGATCTTTAGAACTATCAACAGGTAAGCACCGTGTAGACTTCTAGTCCTGCACCCCTGCCTCGCCATCCCTGCCATCACCATAGTCATCTACCGGAACAATTATTACAATCATAGCTAAGCGGGAACAAGTATAGGAGTTTTCAAGAGGAACTTGGATATTTGCTCCGCCGCGTGGCAGATCAACTAGGCTGTGATGGATGTGGGCCATTGGGTCGCCAACAACAATAACGCTGTTGAACAAACAGTATGCAGAAAAGTCTGGCTCCAGGCTGCGGTGTGAAAGTAAATAAAATCTCTAAATCGGTCACCGATATACGAAGAAGCACCCTTTTTTTTTTTTAAAGGGGGGAACCACTAGGTGCCAGAGATCATGTGATAGTAAGTTATGAGTACATATGTGGATATTCCCGGTACCCCAATCCTCCCTTGTATCTCCACTCACTTTTTGTCGATACACCCACCCTGTCTAAATCTTCCCTCAGCAAGGAAGCCCACTCTCTCCCCTCGCCCTCCTCTCTTACCCCTTTTATACCACGCCCTCACCAGTACCCCTTCTGTATTATATTACCTAATCGCATTGACGAAGTCTCACACAC